CGAGTTTGTCGCCTCGTTACCCGAAGGTCTAGAAACCCCTTGCGGATCCAAGGGCTTGCAATTTTCCGGCGGGCAAAGACAGCGCATCGCGATTGCCAGGGCGCTCATTCGCCAGCCACGATTGCTGTTGCTGGATGAAGCGACGTCGGCGTTGGACACTCAAAGTGAAAGGATCGTGCAGAAGGCGCTGGATGAGGCTGCGATGTCGAGGACGACGATTGCCGTCGCGCATAGGCTGTGAGTACATCCATGTGGAGATACAGGATGATCGATCACTGACATTGCATACAGGAGCACGATTCGACACGCAGATGTTATCTTCGTTATGGAAGATGGTATTATCGCCGAAATGGGTACTCATGAGGAACTGCAAAGATTAAGAGGAAGGTATTTCGCTACGTGCTTGGCGCAGTCGCTCGACCAAGCATGATTTGATACTTATAATACGAGGCTTTTCAACGCATGCAGATCGTCGCGATACACGTGAAGTCGGACTTTCTAAGGCGATTGTAATTGGCCGACGCGGTCCTTCTCTTTGACGAGAGCTAATTCGCATGTGCAGACCTACTAGTCCGCTCCCGTTTCTACAGTCGCCCCGCCTCGCCTAGTGTTTTGCTGATTACAGCAAGCGTTCAGCGGTCGGGAGTATTACCATACATCAAGTTGGCACCTACATTGACTGCCATGGTTACTCTCACAGAGCACTCAACGATATGTCTTCCTTAACCCGGAACTCCGAGCTTTCGTTGCTCGCCATGCCAACCAATGATCGGCCATCCTTCAGGGAGAGTTGCGAACGGAGGCAGTTCGTACCGACCATGGCAAGCGCCACTAGTGCACTTCAGGTTGCACAACCCAAGCATTTTGCAATAGCACACACTCGCATTGGGGCAGTGAATAGGGTCTTGCCCAAATATTACTACAAGAATTAGTACACTGGGAACTCCATGACCAGGGTGGGGTATTTTACTATGCCAGGAATACTCCATAATCCTTCCACTGATTGAGTCTTCCAAGGTTGTCCTCAGCAACAAATTTCGAATGCGCTCATAGTATTCAACCGGTTGTTCCTGTATCTTTTCCTTTGTAGCAGCGAATTGCGCGCAGCAAGAAACACCAACTGCCATTGGAATGTCGCGACCTGGGAAGATCACTTCAAAGGCTTGTTTGTAGAAATGACCCGCATGAGGCTGAGTGTGGGCTGCGTCTACTGCATCTGTGAGTGGGCGAATCTCGTTCGGGCAACCCAGAACCCATACACAGCGCAGGTTGAGATACCCTTTTTCCTGTAGGTAGGAAAAGCGAAACTTTCGCAGGATCGACAGACCGTCATAGTCCGGATCGTCGTTGTGCCATTGGTATCTCTCCGCGTGGAGAAAGAGAATGTTTCCTGGCAATTTGTGGTAGTTGTCGATGATGAAGCTATTTCAGAGTCAGTCCTTGCATAGCAAACGACATAATCGCGTAGGGTTGTATTCATACGAAAGATACACCATCGATTCACGACCCTTGTTCAACGGCACTGTGAGCTCGGCGGTTGGATCGTCCACCACATAGACATATTTGCGCCACTCTGGAAGCTCATCGTAGAACCAAGACGTATTCTCATGCTTCATGGAAGCGATGACTAGGGCCTTGTCGAACGGGCCTTCGTTAAGAGCGATGCCGCCATAAAGTTTATCGGGAACATTCGAGCTCAATTTCCAGAAAGTCAGAAGGGATAGGAGTACGAGACACGTAGCGATGAAAGGAGTTCGGATCGGTCGGCGGAACGCGGGCATGACGTTGGCGTAGAGCCTCATGATGGAGTTGAAGATGGATGAAGAAGGAACGACGCACAAGTGCGAAATCTTATTTCATCCCTCCAGGCATCAGCAGTAGCAGCACATGACTGTGGTGTACTTTGGTTGTTGAGATGAGATTTTACTAAGAACCATGGTTGCGATGCACTGGAGCCAGGGCTCACATTGGACACGTGATGGCGTAGAGTCTGCTCAAGGCTCAGGGCATGTGTGAGTGATATGCGCGGAATCATTACCACAGTTAATATTGCGGACGTGTCAGCAGCAGCTGAGAGAGTTCAGTTCCGGCCCCCAAAGTCATACCGCCGCCAATTACAAGGATGGTTAGCCTCTGGCCCCGATCTCGGCTCGACGTGCATTAGCGTGATGAAAGATCGACCAGACGACAACAACACGCTGCGACACATCTTCACGCACACAACACGACTGATGTAGCCGCGAGAGCGCTACTTCGACAGATTCTAAAAACGATAATAACAAGTCACGCCGGAGCTTCACAACCGGCTCTGATGTTCATTAACCTCGAGTCGCCAGACTGAGCGACGTGTTTCGTGGAGCCTCCGCTCAAATTCAACATGTGGCAAATCGACGCCATAAGCCACCCATAGTCCAGGAAATCGTCACTATCTTGTTTCAGCTGCAGCCACAACGAGACCTACTCCTATTACTGGAGGCCTTGCCGTGGGGCCAACGTGCTCTTGGCACGATAACACACCTACGAGACAGACCGCCCTCCCCCTCTCTTCTGAGCGCAACGATGATGGCGAAGCATATGTATTGGAAAGTCGCGGACTAACCCATCGCTGTCTTGCAGCATGTGTATTTGCATATCTTTCGAGAAGGATTGGAAGAAACTACGAGCATGAGGCTAAGCGCCAGGCTGCCTGACAGCCTCAGGCCGAACCTCAGGCCGCTCAGCCAGTAATCCACATGCGCGCTGTAAGGCCCCCACCCTAAGATGGGCGATAGCCACTGCAATTGGTCTCAATATCGACCGCAGCACAATGGCGGTGCACGGCCTTTCAGCACACTATTCTCATAAGATCAGATCTGGGCCTCGCTCGCGTGGTTGTACGTCTCTACCAAACCATTCTCTAGACGCGTACCGAATTGTTACCTTCGGCCTTCAACACCAAATCCGCTTGACCGATGGCTGGCTCGTTCATCACGGTCTCGCGATGGGTCTTCTTCCTGTTCTGCCTTACTACGGTCACTTTTGCGCATACACTCAATAAGCCCCCGACACGAGCACTCTACCTTCGACCAAGAACTTCCCCCACACCACAGGAAGCTGCACTGAACATCAAGCGCGCCCTCAAGCAAGGACTCGAAGTCTTCAAACGCGATGTATGCGAAGATGCGTTTCCAGGCGAAGGCGCAGTAACAAATACCTGCAACCCCAGCAATACGCTCTGCTGTATCCGAAAGGGAGAAAGCTACCCCCAGTGCCAAAATCTCCTCAATAAGGGATGGTGCTGCATCGACAATCCCAATAGCGAGCCTGGCTGTTACGTCGACCAGCCATCTGTCTGTGAAGAAGCCGACTCGGTGCCATGCGCTAACCTTGAGGCTGGCGTAGATCAAGCATGCTGTCCAGGCCAGACTACATGCGCGTCGGGCTACAAATTCACCGAGAAGTTTGTACGCTGCCAGATTCTCTCGGCTGACCTCGTGTCACTTGCCAGCGCCAGCGCCGCTCCAACAAGTAGCTCGAGTATTGAGCCAAGCTCCGCATCGCCAACGTCCGAAATTACCTCGTCTGCGTCAGACTCAGCATCATCAACACCCTCTTCCGCCCCTGCTACAGCATCAGACGTCCTATCCAACGCAGCATCGAGCGCCATACCGCCACCTCCGTCTAGCAATTCGTCTTCGTCTTCCTCGTCCTCCTCCTTGTCAGGCGGAGCTATCGCGGGTATCGCCATTGGACCGACACTGGCGCTGGTAGTCGGCGTAGGCCTATGGTTTCTCTACAAGCGTCGACAGAAGAAGAAGATGCAGCAACCCTACGCCCCGGCAGTCATGTACCAAGACGCGTACCCAAAGGCCGAGTTGGCTTCTGAGCCTGTCATTCCTGGGCCCTACAAATATCAACATGCTGCTGCCGAGCCACCTCAGGAGATGCCTGTTCAGTATACCTACGAGCTCGACGGCGGGGCTCATCGCGGGCCGTAGAAGAGGGGTAATGCTGTTGCGAGGACGCGCTTCTCTTTATAATGTCCATGGCTGCGGCGACATCCGAAATTCACGCCGTCATGCACTGTAGCCCCGTGTAGACGAGGGCACGTTGGCTTTGTACTCTCATGTTTAGATGTCTCGTATTCTTAATTTACTTACCTCATTCCACCTGGAAATCTTAAGTTACCTGCACACCGCCATCCAAAGCCAGTATCTCCTCGCGTATAAGTCGTATGAAATTCGGGAGGTGTGGTTGGCTCGTCGTCTCTGGGTCGCCTCTGGGCATCGCAGTACCATGGGAAGATGATTATCACGCTGTCAATCGGCTTCGTGTTGACTGGTGTGAAGAGTGAAAGTGAATTAGACGTGCCTTCCTCGCTGCCTGTGGCTTGTACCCGAAGAGCCTCCAGAGCTCTTGCCTCCTACCTCTCGCGTCCACACCACACCAACTTTTGTTCGAAATCTGCATCGCAAAAATGCGAGGACGCGGCAACCATCCGCAGGGCTTCGGCCAACGTCAAGTGCCGACAGGACCTCGACGAGGGAGCTACAATGCGCCATCTGGAGCACCTCGCGGCAGAGGTGGCTACAGTGCCAACCCCAGTGCCAACGGGTACAACGATGGGTCTGCCCATGGCAATGCCAGTGCCAGTGCCAATGCCAATAACAATGCCGACAACGGTCAGTATAGGCTGAAGCTCGACGTCAAGTACTACCTTCGGCCCCACGACTGCGTCGATCAGCTGGACATTCCGGCCGGCTCTGGAATGAGCCGCAAGGACACGACCTGCCTGCATTGTGGAGAAACAAACATTTACGGGCATGGCTCGTATCATTTGCTCCGCGACGGCTCTTGCCCTCGTCGCTGCTGCCGTTGTGGAACCATGAACCACCAAGGATGCGTAAGGCTTCTCCCCCATGCTGAGGTCCACCAGATGCTGATGCTCGATAGCTTTGTGACCGATATTGGCTTTCTGCTGCCTTCCTGAAGCGTGCGTGCCCAAGCGAAGGGATGCGTAGGCCCAGGCAGACTCGCCCATCGCCACTCGATTTGGAGGTCATTCGACGCGACTACCCAGAGTACCGCGAGTTTGCCGATAGCGTGCTGCCGCTTGCCGACAAAGGACACTACCATCCGTCGCTGCAGGTGCCCAAGCGCGCACGGGAGGACGACGACGAACAACCGGAGCCGAAGCGATCACGGACTGATGCCGGCGGTGCCGAGATCGAAAAGATGAGGGCGGACATGGATACTCTCAAGGCTGAGAATGAGCGGCTCAGGGCTGAGAACGAGCAGCTCAAGGCTGAGACTGAGAGACTCAGGAATTCCAGTCGCACTTCTGCTCCTTTCGTCAAGAAAGAGGAAGTCGACGAGGATGGTTTCGAGACTCTTAGCAAAGAGTTCGACAGACTCGTTGAAGAAGAGCTTGCTCGAATAAGTCGGTGAGGTGGATGCCAGAGAGGACTACTTCGACGAGGCTGTGCGTTATTTGGAGGGCCAAGAGGTGACGGCGTCGTCGTCTTGTGAGTAAACACTCGTGAGTAAACGCCCGTAGGTAGAGTGAACGCTCGTGAGTAGACGCTCGCGAGGACAGCTCGTGAGAAAAGCTCACGAGGAAGGGGAAAAGGTCATCGTTGCGGATATACAGAGGTTGCGGCATCAATGAATGTCATTGCGTAATTGTACAATTTATCTGTGTGTTACAGCCAGCTTGTGCAACACTACGTTTGGAGATATCTCGCTGATGTCCCCTGGATTGTGCGGCATGCCTCGTAATTCGGGCGGCATTGAGAGAAGTGGTGTGTGGGAGATGGTGTGGCGGACTTGGTGCGACTTCCTGCCCAAACCACCATAGCTACGTCAACGTTTGTCATCCGATTCTTCGTGCCTGCCCCGACGAGCGTGATTACCAAGTAGCGCGCACACATCATCAGTTCATTTCGACAAAGTGGCTGCAACCCCATACCATTCACGTCAACAAGATGGCGTCCGACCTGCCAGAGGTGCCTGATGCACCCAACGTGTTTCTTGAAGCACTGCAAGACGAAGAGATTGCCGATATGCTTCAATACGAAGCAGACCGACGCAGAGTGAAAGGAAGTCGGCCTGCCATGCACGAGGAACCTCTGCGGGTTCGTTCCATTGCCGCTTCAACTGTTCTTGCTGCTGACACAGAAGAGTCAGCAACTGGTAATCAACTCACTAATTTTGGAATGAAGGCAGAGGTGCTAACACTCCAAGAAGATCTTGCCGTACCTCGAAAGACACTGCCAACGAAGGGCGCAGGGAAACGGCGAGCCAGTGCCGAACGCTCTTTGAGCAAGCGAGCAAAACGTCAGTCGCGACGCTCTCGAGAAGGCGAGTGCCCGTTCGCCAGCGATGCCGAACCCGAAAGCTCCGTGCCTGCGACTGCCTCTTCGAGACTTCTTGCAGAGGAATACCCCATCGCGATACTGCCTCAGGATAGCGAGTGCCCGTTTGCCAGCGATGCCGAACCCAACTTCTCCGTGCCTGCGACTGCCTCTTCGGAACTTCATGCCAAGGAATACCCCATCGCAATACTGCTGCCTATTCAGGATGGTCGCAACGTCGTCATACGCAACGGCATCCCTGCCCAGCTCACGAAACTGCTTCGCGATGAAGTCAAAAAATGCCTCACGACCCAATTCTGCATTAGAGCTTGGAACGATGCCGACCACGAAGATAACGCTCTTTGCATGCTTACCGCGGCCTATGGATTTATCCGCTCCTATCTTGTCCCGAAGGGTCAAGGTGCGTCCAGAGCGTGCGTTGTCTGCTGCACAAGTCCCGGGGAGAGCGGTCCAATCGCCCCAAGGCCTTGCGTCATGCTACGGGCGGATGCAAAGGGGGAGTACATACTATGTCTGCCCTTGCCAGAGTATTTGCGAGTGGGAAAGGGGTGGAAAGAGAGGGGTTTCTGGGTGAATGAGACGCCACAAGGTCCTTTCCCCCGGTTCGATGCTTTGCGCGCGTGAAGCGGTCACGATGACCCCGGCGACGGTGGCAGTCGAGTACGTCTCCGTGCCGGAGGCTTCACGTTTGGACGACAGATTCGATGTGCCCGTTGCAGAAAGTCTTGCTGGTAGATGTGCGGTAGGACCATGGTAATTCCAAGGCACGTTCGATGGATTCATCGAACGGCGTGGTTCATGCGTGACGGAATCGTCACGTGTTATGAGAGTCCTTGGAGGTTTCGTAATGCGGTAATTCCGATCGATGGAGTCATCGATCAGGTTCGTTAGATAGTGCAGGCGTTGCCTTTGCCAATATTATGCATCGCACTCGCATCATGCTCTCGTCTCAATCTCGTGGGACAGTTCCGTGAACGCCCAGGTACATAGCTTCTCAATACGCTGGAAATGATTACAACATTTCTTTCACTCTAGTACGCTAAAGCTCATCAGGGCGGCGCGTCTTACGATACGGTCATTGTAAAGCGTAGACGTCTCCAATCATCATGATCCGGAAGTCTTTGTGTTTTGGAAGAGGAGCAGCAACAGACATTCGTGACTGCAGAACCGTTTTTGGTATCGAACCACAAAAGGCTGGTTGTATAGAAGGTAGAGACAACAGCGGGATTTTATATTGCTCCGGAAGGATAGGCAGTTTGATGAGCTCTACATTACTCATGGAAGGTGCGTGTGTGATTTTGAGACAGCAGGAGAGAAAGACATGACAGACTACCGCTTCGATTTTGATGCCTGCAGGACACATGGGTCTCTGAGGAAGCGACCTGCTGCACATATGCATGAATTGGGAATTTCAAAACAACTCGTTATAGTTTGCGCGAAAGTGGTTTTTGGTTGCTACCTCTGGACTCATGAGAAAGATGGTGGAGGATTTTGGAAAAAGGGAAAGAGCAGAAACATTTTGGCGTAGCACTAGGAATTTTGATATGTGCAGAATGAAGTGCGGTATTTGGAGAGGAGGAGGAGTAAAGCAGCAGACTTTTATACCACAACAAGCTCAGCCGGTAGCCATAAGGCCGATGTCGCGGCATTTCAATAAAGCTTCGTCGCGCCCACCGTCTGTGACAAAGACAGTGTGAAATGAATTTCCTCTTTTTCCGACAGAAGACATACCTTGTTTGTCCCTTGTATTTCAGTGAGACGCGGCGTTGGTGATCTGATCCAAAAGACACTACTAGCTTTTTGAAAGGAAAGAGAGAGTCGCGACATAAAGACTTCGTCAAGACTTTTTGGTACCGCCACCACTTGTCATAAAAAATTAGGTTGTAGGTTTTTCGGAACAACAGCGGAGAAGAGCACATAGAGATTCAAGCTTGTACTTTTGGTCGCGAAGATTGGATGCTGCACATTGGTGACGCCGAGAAATCTTTCGATCAAGTCAGAGACGGGCGAGATCGCCATGTAGCGATTCATTGTAGTTTTTTCGAGCAGCGGCAAGTCATATGTTCGATCTTATAGTCGTTTTGGTAATCACTCTTGTGTGAGTGGGAATGTAGAAGAGGAGCAGACCGGGAGGAAGACGGGAGCTTTTATATCGACCACGCACGACGAGAACAAGTCATACGGCGTTTCTTTTTGCGTTTTGGTAGTTTCATAAGGAGATTGTAGGGGTGTTTCTTGCACACATATGAAGTGAGAGACATAGTTTTTGACAGCTTTCACATAGCGACCATCCATATGCGATTGAGAATAACAGCTGTAGTCTGCTTCCGCCACACATTTGGCAACATCGTCATCTTTTGAGTAAACACCCCAGAACAACTCCCAGACATGCGCTTGCTACAATGAAGTTTTGGAAGAAGAGACAGCCATAGTGCGTTTCCGAGCAATTTTGAAAGATACCAGTAAAGCTTGTGGGAAGTGTAGAAGACGAAGCAGAGCGTGATGCTGTGGATATTTATACGCTCCCAAGACCGGCGCTCAGACCGGCGCAAGCGTTCTCGAATCGCATAAGGGTGGACTTGTCGAATTATCAGGAGAAGCAGACATACCATGCAAGCATCTCCTTTTAAAAGCTCAAACATGGGGTAGTACCTTCCAGATTTGAGGAATACAGCATCATCAATCCCGCTTCTCGCACACAGGCGAAGACCATATACTCTTCCAGGCGGTATTTTGGAAGTCAAAGTCGCACAACATCAACGTTTCCCATCCACAGTTTGGAAGATGGCTATCAGGAAAATAGTCCTCTCTCAGCAGGCATTATCGATGAATCGTGTGATTTTGGGAAGAGCACAGACAAAGAGTCATGAGGAGAATGTTTCTCGTGTTCTTGGCTTCCATGTCGTGGCACATACGAAGATGCTGAATGTCTTTTGGACTGCAAGTCTGAAATGAGCCGGGTCTTTCTCCAGCCACATGAAATGAGCGCCCTCAGATTTTGGTCTTGGATGGAGAAAGTTGGATACCGAGACAGAGAGCCATGCATGCGACGGTATATCTTTCTAATCCACTGTTGTGCAAAGTGCCGACGTCCACAGAACATGGCGAAGGCGTGGTAATATTTCCGTCTTCTTCTCCACACATCCGTGGTTCCTCTCCTAGTTTTGTTCCAACGCCGAACCACACAGCCATCATGCCTTGCGATGATGTTTTAGACGTCGCAGTCGCGGATCATGAACTGAGATGTGTGGGTTTTGGATCAGAAGTACGTATGTGGGAAGCGCGGAGATCGTCCCAGCCATGGAGTGACAGTATCAGGATTTTGGAAGAGAGAACGCACACGTAGGGCTGTGTACAATGATTTTTTAGAAACCCAGGGAAGAGGTGTGATGAAGAAAGAAGGAAGAGAGCGTAGCAAGACGAGGTTTTATACCCGCGCCCGCTCAGCTAGCGGCTTGCGAGGGAAGGAAGCCGCGGAAGTCATCCAGAAAGGGCCGGTCGCTTTTGCTTCTCTATTAACTGATTTCTGGCGATCTTTCTGCACATATAGCCCCATGGTTGGATTTTTGGAAACCATGACAGGAATTTGTCAAGCTTTTGGAATTGCAGAAGTCCAAGAGTCTTTTCACTCATGCGCGTTTCCGATGCGGATTTTGGAAGAGAGACAGCACATCCCCAAGCCGGTGGGTGTTTTTGGTAATTCAGAATTTGAAGTGTGATGCAGAAGACCATAGCAAAGAATGCCGCTGATTTTATACTCACAGACAACCTGCCAGCAAGGACGGTAGTGATGTGAACGAAGAAACCAGCGCCGGGATGCATGAATACGTCGCCGTTGTGTTTTCTCGTCTGACTTTTCGGAAGTCTCTGCTCCTCTCTTCTCCAACATGGATGTCGGGTCTGCTGTTTTGGAAGGAAGAGCGAAGGCCATGGGGATACTATGCAACCTTTTGGACGGCGGGCGCAGACATTGCCCTAAGCTGTTGTGTTTTTTTGGAAGAGGTAGGGGGCAGCCCATGGTAAGTAATGTGAGAACTTTTTGGAAAAAGACAGGCAGGCCACATGGAAAAGTTGTGCCATCTGTTTTTGGAAAATGATGGAAGGAGAGTGTGATGAAGAAGAGAAGAAAAGCGATGCGAGTGAGGGACTAATATACCCGGCGCAAAGACGGGACGGGCTCGCGCGCCTGCGAAGTCATGCGCACGACGCCAGTAAACTTCCTGAAAGACATCGCACGTGTTCATTCAACCGGCCAATACCCTACATACCAATCATTTCCCTCATATATTCCCCACAGCCCTACGTCGCTGCCGCAACAGCCTCACCACTCTCCTCAACCCTCCTCTTCTTCTTCCCATGATGCCCCCTCGCCTCGACCCTCCCCTCAACCGGCACCACCCTCGTAGCCGTGAAAATATACCCTTCTGCACCCCCCTTACTCGTCATCATAGGATGCGTCCGGCCAGGAAGAACCTGCCACTGACGCGCTCTTGCCGTCTGTAGACTAGGTGCAAGGACCAACGTAGGATTGAGCGGGAAATCGTCTTCTTCGTTGTCGGCTTCGGAGGTGCCTGCGGGGGTATCGACGTCCTCTTCGGTTTTGATCCGTTTGCCGTTGGTGTTGCTCGTACCGTTGGTTTGCGGCGGAGGCCCGAATTCGCGTGCGATGTACGCCGCCCTTCGTTCCTTGCTATACAAATCGCACAACTCAACCAACGGCTCAACATTCGGATTATACACCACAATCCTGCCCCCACCCTTGACAAGCGGCACCAACTCCCTCAACACAGTCTTCGCATCCATCGCCGTCGCAACCACCAACCCATCAAACCCACCCCTCTTCGTCTCATCCACCACACCCTTAACCCTCTCCCAGCGTCTGCGTTTCTTGTAATACGTACCGCGTTTCGTTGACTTCATGCTCGCGAGCACTTCTTCAGAAATTATTTCGGGCTCGTCGTAGGAAGGGTCGTCTTCGGGGTGGAGGAGGGCGAGCCAGGAGAGCGATTTGAGGTGTTTGTAGAGGGGGTGGGCGGGCGTGGGGTTGCCGTAGTCGTAGCCGAAGTATTTGAGGTAGGAGAGGTTGGGTTGGTTGTTGGGGTGCAGGACGGTGAGGGTGTTGGTTGAGGCGGACATTTGCGGGATGTGTGGTCGTGGGGGCTTTCGTGGGCGTGGAGGAGGATCTGAAGGGGCGGCTGTGGGGTCTGTTGTGGTGCTGGCGTCGGCATCGGGCATGGCGGTGTCGTTATCTTTGGGCTCTGGGGCGGAGGCTGGGGCTGGTGTGCCGTTCATTTCGACGTCAGCTGCCTCCTCTTCCGAGGACGAGTCGTCGTATTCCTCCTCCGGGTAGAGGATGCCCATCTTCTCGGCAAGTGCTGCTGTGACAAGCCCTCCGGTGTCGTCTACCACGAGCCACCGTCCTCCTCCTACCTGGCTGACTCCATCCTCCGCCAAGTGAATCTGGTTCGTCGCCCCAGAGTGTATGTTTGCCCAGCTGTTGATCAAGCCCAGTAGATCTTCCCTCAGCTCCATAATCTTGTATGCCTCTTTCTCCAAGACATACTCTGTGAGCAGACCAACATCCATGGGCAGGGCTGTGAAGCGCTTCAAGTACTTCTTCGACTTCCGCAGGGTGTACTTGGCCAGCGAAAAGCTCGTCTTCTCGTCAATCGCGTTGTGGGAAGCCATGATCTTGGCGATGATCTCCTTGCCAGAGCCCGCGCCTGCCTTCTTGAGCTCCTCAATCTCAGCCATAGACAGCGCCTGCCGTGAAGCATCGTCAACGGTCAAGCGGTTATTGCGCATGATGACCTGCCCATCTTCTCCCACAATGTCGAAGCCCGTAGCACCCGCAGCACCCTCGGCAGTCTCTTCGCTAGTTTCGGCGGTGGGCGCATGGTCGCTGCCTAGAGCTTCGGCGTGGAGTTCGGAAGCGGGTACGACGCGCAGCTCCGTCTTGGATTTGCCATCGTCCTTGTCGAGCAGTTCGTAGGTGAGATAGTACGGGCGGCCGAGGAGGAGGTTGGAGTTGAAGGTGCCGAATTTGCCGAGGTTGATGCTCCTGTAGGGTGTTTAGAAGGAATTCTTGCATGCATGCACACGGAGGGCTCACTCCAGCTATGCGACGTACGTATTCGGTGTGATTTCGACGATCTTGAAGAGACCTGAGGGCAGTCGGAGCGCAACGTGCGTATTGGGGCGGACGTGGAAATGCATGGCGCGAGTGTGGTCGCGGCACTGTGTTGGTCACTATTCCATGTGTAGTTATGGTTAGAAGTCTTAGTATGGTATCTCTGTCCCGAGTTCTGCACGCGCAAAGGTGAGGTGGAGCTAGTGAATTTGTCGCAAGGAATAATTCCGAGGCGCACCGCCGCGTCTTACTCAGCCACAGGCTCAGCCACACACTCGCACCAGTCGTACGTCATCGCCATCGCGACTTCTGCTACTTGGGCGTGTCACTCGGGTCCAACACGTCGCTTACGTCGACTACTTTGCTTCTTTCGCTGGAGTCCTGCTTCCATATCAATCCCCTTCACCCCCCTTCCTCATACTACCGCGCCGCGCCGACTGTCGCGAGAACTCCCCCATATCCCACACCAAGCCCCAGGGCACTGCACCGTAAACATGGTGCTACGAAAGACCGACGAAGCCGACGACGTCGTTCCAGCGCCGCTCTCCAAGGCGATCCCCCCGTATCCCACAACGCCCTCCGACGAGCACCCGCCTGCCTTTCCCGTGTCGCCCGAGCGTGCCGTGGACCCGCCCAGCACGAGCAAGTCGCCAGCGTTCAACATCAAGACGCCTGAAGAGACGCGACTGCCCGACGACAAGCACGAGAGCGACTCGGATCTGAGCGAAGACGAGTGGAACCAGTCTGATGACGACTTCGAAGACATCAACCACAACGATGTGCCTGCCGCCCTGAAGCCGGCTGCAGGAAAAAGGCCACCTGTGCCAAGTACTACACATATCACCAGCGGTCTTCCCGATGCTTTGAGGCCAGGGCCACCGGCAGGTATTCCCATCAAGCGCTCACAGGAAAGCATCTCGGCCACGCCCACCGGTGCCAGCGCGGCTTCCTACGGCGCAGCCAGCACCGTATCCGAGCAGTCGAATGGCTCCATCCCGCTGAAGACCAACAACCCCTACCTGAAGATGCAGACGACTGGGCAGAATAGCTGGGACGGAGAGAGCAGCCAGGCTATCTGGGGCGATGCGCCGAGCCACACCCACAAGTATGAGGCGCCCGTCGAGCTCCAGGCCTCCCAGACGCCAAGTACACCCACCCACGACATGAAGAACCTCGGACTAGATGACCATGCCCCGTCTACGCAGTCGACAGCACCAGTAGAGCCGCCTGTCATTGCCGTGAACTCACCTACACCGCGTTCGGAGCATCCAGATACCTTCCTCGATACGAATCCATGGGAACCCGCCTCGCACGATGCTCACACTGACACTGGATCCTGGACGGCACCGCCAAGCGATGCAAGTGCCCGTAATGAAAGCTCACACAACATTCCCGCCCCAATCATTCCACATGCGAATACTGTCGAGCAATCGTCTCTTCCACCTCAATACACGCCCGAGCAAACACCACCCTCCTCCGAAGAACCGCCACCTGCGCTGCCGCCAAGAAGGTCGCACGAGGACATGGCGCCTACAATGCCTCCTAGACCTATCGACACAGGCATTGGTTCGTCCGCTCCTCCTGCCTTGGAATCGCCCAATACGACAATGGAGAGGCAGAGGAAGGAACACTACCAAATTAAGCACATTCGCTGGCTTGATCACACCATCGAGGACATGCGCGTTTCGCCCATCCTGACGCAGAACCTGAATGGCCCCTGCCCTTTGCTGGCTTTGGTCAACGCACTAGTCCTTTCGACTCCTGCTAGGCTTGACACTGCGCTTGTTGAGACATTACGCACACGCGAGACAGTCAGCCTGGGACTACTGCTTGATGCCGTCTTCGACGAGTTGATGTCCGGTAGACGGGGTGATGCTGCGCAAGCTCTCCCCGACGTGAGCGAGTTGTACAAGTTCCTCCTCGCTCTCCACACAGGTCTCAATGTCAACCCCATGTTTGTCCCAGACTCCAACACCCCGGATGCACAATCCACGCTTACGAGCCGAGCTGGCGCCTTTGAGAACACTCAGGACATGAAGTTATACCGCACTTTCAACATCCCACTGATGCACGGATGGCTGCCCGAGGCTGGATCCGACGCTTATGCTGCCTTTAGTCGCGTAGCAGCGTCATATGAAACATCGCAGTTTGTTCAGTTCCAGGAAGAAGAGCTGAATGCGAAGCTGGGGGCGGGCGAGTCTCTGAATGAGGACGAGCAACAGATGTTCACGGATATCCATGCCATCAAAGAGTTCTTGATGCGTTGGCCAACACAGTTGACCGACCATGGTTTGAGGGTCATTCGCGATAACCTCCAGCCCGGTCAAGTCGCTATCTTGTTCCGAAACGACCACTTTTCGACGCTCTGCAAGAACCCTCGTAACGGCGAGCTCGTCACTCTTGTCACAGATCAGGGCTACTCCACCCACGATGAGATCGTCTGGGAGTCTCTTACCGACGTCAACGGCCAAGGTAGCCAGCTCTTCTCCGGCGACTTCCGCTCCGTCGACAACAGCAACACATCCGGCCTACAAGACCAGCACCAACCTTCCAGCGTCGACAACAACCAAGGCTGGACCACCGTCCCCGCCCGCCGCGGCAACGCACAATCCAACATCCCCCAAGACACCGACGTCACCTCCCCGGAAGCCCTCAGCCGCGCCGAACAAGAAGACCACGACCTCGCCCTAGCCCTCCAGCTCCAAGAAGAAGAAGAAGACCGCGAGCGCCGCGAAACGGAACAACGCAACTCCCGCAACAACCAACTTTCCATGGACGCTATCAACGCTCCTCCCCAGCCACCGCGGAACCCACAGAACCCGGTCATTCCGCCCCGCCGTAACAATAATATTACGGGGCATAGACCTGCTGGTGAGGCGGCGCCGCCGCCGTTGTACGAGGAGGCTATTACAAGTCCGCAGTACGTGCCTCCGGCTGGTCATCCGGCGAGTGCGCAGGCGCCGGTGCCGGGGCAGGGTGGCAGTGCGTATCAGAGTACGAGTGGCGGGTTGCCGGCGCTGCCTGGCGCGGGGAGGGGCAGGCATGGTAATGTTTTGCCTGGGAGGATGGGGGGTGGGAGGAGACCGAGTCAGGGACAGCAGGGGCAGGGGCAGGGACAGGAGGAGAGGGATAAGTGCGTTGTTATGTAGATGACGACACTTTCCCTTCCCTCCCCTTCCCTTTCCGCATCTTTGGTTGTGCTGGGATGTGTTGGATGTGTTTGATTATCTGCTGACGTGTCATATTAGAGACTCGGAAGATGTGCCGTGTTCGTGGTGTACGGTTAGTTAGTATCCGTTGTGAGCGCGGACCGAGGGTATCTAGATGTTGTTGCGGTTATGATCACGGTGATGACTTGGGCGTTTGGTGGTGTTGGAGTGTTTATATACCCGTTATTCTTTCTGCTTTTCCGCGTTTCGTAGTACGCGGTCGGTAGGGCGTTTGTTGCATCAGGTTGGAAGCAGTATTCTTACTCCGATATTCCTACGCAATACTTTGCATTTCCCTCAGTCTGAATGATGCTTTGTTGTATGTGACATGACACATTCAGTGTCCTTATCTCATCCAGCTGGCCATGCATACCATGAGGCTTTCCACTGGATCTACGAATTACTAATCTGCCGAGCCCTCTCCCTCCCCTCCATCCGTTTCAATTCTTCGTCCCACTCCTCTTCTTCTTTACTCTTCGCACCGTCCTTAGCCTCCCCACTGCTTTTACTCCACATACGCGTATGCTGTCCTCCTCCGCCTCCCCGTGACTGCACAACTTCCTGTAATAGACTTGCTTTACTTACACTCCTCTGTTTTCCAGTCTGCTCCTCACCAGTACCTTCCGATGGCGCAAAACCCCGGTCTTGTCCCCGCCCCTGCCGTTTAACCATCTCGATGAAGGACGACGATGTGGGTACAGCAGACGTCTGACCCAACTGCCGTTCATAAGACGTAGTAGCTTGTCTGTTATACCGCGGCATAGGCATGCCCATCCCTTCACCAGCCGTCGGCCGCGGCGCCGGCGGCCTCATATTACAGTACGGCATTGGTGGAGGCGGTGGTCGGTTCGGTCGGTTCGGTGGAGGTGGGCGGCGCGGTGGATCGAGACGCAGTGTTCCTTCCTGATGAATAACTGGAGTCGATGCCGGAGCACGAAGCGTTGATAGTGCGGACATCTTGATCGGTGCGTGTGTCGGTGATAAGGAGGATGTGCGCTGGGGATGGATTGGCGTAGTCGGTCTTGGTGTTCTTGTAGGAGAGTCATTGGTGTCGGAGGCGGAGGCGTCGAGATATGAGGGGTTGTTGGCTTCGTCGAATGGGTTGAGGGAGTTGCGGTTGTGGTTGTGGTCGTAGTCGCAGTCGGATATTTGGTCTTCGTCTTCGGTATGGTAGACCTCGTTATCCATGTCGATGCTAGAAGGACGACTATCGCGTTCGACGATAGAAGCAGTTTCGCAGCGCCAACTAGCTGTGCTGGTGCTGCCGCCGCTTGCACCTCTGACTCCTTCCTTCCATCGTGACACTTCTTCGTTAGTACACCCGTTGGTATAGCCGTCTTCGTGGCTACTTCTTCCCCTTAGAGCAGGATGGACGGACCCATTAATCGTCAAGCCATCGCCCTCCGTATCCTCCTCCTCCTCCTTCTTATCAACCATCTCTTTCCCCACCCTACCCTCATCTCCACTATCACCTCCCTCAGTCCCACTAAACCACCTCAACTGTCTCGGCTTCCCAGCCCCCACCGGCCTGCCCTCCCCCCTCATCTCCACCCTCCTCCTCTCCATCTTCTTCAGCTCCTCAGCCCACCCGCTCAAATCCTCGATACTGGGTCCCTTATGCCTAGTCCCACGTTCCTGCGGGCTCATCGTACTAGCCGCACTGACAGAAGGGTTAGCTAGACTGGTGTTGATCCAGAGACTACCCTGTCGGTTACGGCGAGATGCGGAAGAGGAAGGGGTGGCTGTGGCGTTGCTGCGGCGGATGCTGTGGGCGTGGGAGGGGGGTGGTGTGTAGATGTTTGGGTTGGTGGCGTTGAAGAGGTTGGAGAGGGTGTAGTTGCGTGAGCGGAGTGGTAAGGTGTCGGAGCTGGGGTCGTGGGTTGGTTTGATGGGGCTGCTGGATGAGCGTTGGGTTAGGCTGAAACTGTCTTCTGTGGCGCTGCTGCGGGCGTTGGAGCTGTTGGTCAGTGTCAAGGTGAGGTCGAGCGTAGAGCTGTTTGACCGTAAAGAACTGCCATCGCCATCTCCTAGACTCCTGACAAAGTTACCGTACTCATACCCCTCGTCGCTACCTTCACTTTCGCCATCTGCGGCAATGTCGGCGAAGTACTGGCAATCATCCACAACCTTTACAGCCCATGCAAGCTTCACCCCCTTCTCGCCTACCGCAATCTCCCTACTCTTCCGCCTATCCTTGTTCATCTTGAGTAGATCGCGCTGAGCTTCCAAAATCGTAGTCAACTCCCCTGTCTGCGCATCAAACTGCAGCCAGCTATCCACATCATCCAGTTGTTCTCGGCGGTAGATTCTATATTGTTTTGCGCCTGCTGCTTCGTCGTCGGCGTGGGAGTCGAGTTTCTGGGGTAGGGAGGCGTCGATGTATGTCGACAGAGGTTGATGTAGTTTCAAGGAGCCGAGAGTGAGTTGAGCGGCGAGAAAAGTGTCTTTTGGGCGCACCATGGAAGGGTGTATGACGTCGTTGTCGCTGTTGAAAGAGCGGCGGAGAGTGTGGCGGCTTGCGCAGACCTTGAGGGCCATTTTTGAGACGGAGGCTTTGAGGTCTTCGTAGGTGGCTTTGGCTTCGGCGTCTATAGAAGGAATATTAGGAAGCCATGGCGAAGGCGGGACGGCGGTAACAGGTGTCGTTGGAATCGGTATAGCCGTAACAGGCGTCTTCGGTGAAATCAGTGACTCCCAGAACCCACCTTCCGCGAAAGAGTTCTTGATAGGACCAGCAGTAGCCGACCTAGGCGTCCCAGGACCCGAAGATAAGATCTCCCATCGCGGTCGCGGTGTAGTCGGACTCGCAGTCTCGAAGCGCGGAAGATGCGCTGGCCGAAGGGGATGTGCACCCGTAGGCGCAGTCCATGAAGACGAACTGTAAAGAAGTAGTTGCCGTCCACCTGGCGTGACAATCGAGTGTACAGGCGGAGGAGGAGGACACCACCCAAGCACCTTCATACAGTGTTCCTTCTTGGCCCGCAAAATATTCTTCTTCGCTTGCCGCCATTTCGCCTCGGGGAAGCGCTCTTTGTTCCAATAAATGACTTCTTCCCAAAACCGAAGGTGTTGTTCTTTAGTCAGGCTCTTCAGTCCTGCGGCTTCGTGTTGACTGATTGCTTTGCCAGTGGCAGGCGATATGGCGCTGTCTTCTTTTGAGAAAACTCGCTCCATTGTGAGCACTCGTTCTGGCATTCTGACGGCGTGTGCGCTGGGTTGGAACGGAGTAGGAAAAGTCTCGTGGGTTGCGACGGGAGTGTTTGGCGGCGTGCTCGGTAATCCCTGCGATCTGGCGAGCAGATTGAGTGTCATAACCTCGCCCGGGTTGTTTGGTCGCGTGAAGGGGACACGGGATTAACTGATCGCAAGAGTTGCGCTCGGCGCAGTGTAGGCAACCGCGTGGGAAAGATTTGCGACTTGATGGGGGAATTCCGTCACATGTCCCTCACTTGCACTGTGAAGGAATAGGGCGGTGTCTTGCAACGGAAGTGAAAAAGGTCTTGGGTCGAGGGTGCGCTGTGATTGTATTTGTTGTGCGGTGCGACTATCACGCGCTACTACCATGAGCAAACGCGCAAGTCGGGGTGAAACTTACTCGGTGGATAGAAATATCGACCTAAGGCGTTGAGCGAATCAAGCGAATGGGAATGGCTGACAGCATGGCGGTGAAAGTGAAACGGATGTGTAAATATAATATTGACCTGTAAATTTTGTCTAGGTGGTATCCAACTCCGCTAATGCGAATGCGACGTCTAGTCTAAGAAAGTAAAAAGGTTTGTATGTACAACATTGAGAGCGCGGTCGGCCTCGCGCTCTTCAATGACACAGGAGATGTTGATCTCGCTGGCGCCTGGTAGATGTTAGCAATGAAGCGGCATTGAGATAGAGAAAGACGTACCCTGAGAAATCATCTCGATGTTGATGTTGTTCTGTCCCAACACGCTGAAGAATCTACCAGAGATACCAATCATGTTCTTCAGTTGCTTACCGACCAAGCTCACAATGGCCATATCAGGCACGATGTCAATGGTGCCGAGCTGGCCAAGGTCGTTGACGGCACCTTGGAGATCCTTGCTCTGGATCTTGTACTCATCCTCACCCCCGCCACTCAGAAGGGCAGACTCGGAATGGAGAGCCATGGACACGTGGACCTCGGAAGAAGAGATGAGGTCGACAGAAAGGTGCCATCGGTCGAGGATGCTGAAGATGTTCATTAAGAAACCATGGGCTCGGGTGCGCTTGTTGCTGTGCACGTTCAGCACGACGATGTTGTGCTTGATGGTGACGGCAGTAGGGCGCTTGGGGCCTTCCAGCTGGGTGAGGAGGCTCGCGGAACGAGTGCGGAACAGCTTCCCGTCTTTCAGGGGCGCACGACCGTCGATGTCCTTCAGGTTATCCGGGAAGATAATGGTACCGGCATTGCGCGGGTTCATGACGTTCTTGATACGGATAGGGATGCGGGCGCGGATGACCTGCTCCATGGTGAAGGGGTGGATGACCTCGGACCCGTAAAAGGTCAGCTCAGCAGCCTCCGAGGGCGTGACGGTGGGGAGAAGGGCGGCCGTAGGGACCTTGCGGGGGTCTGCCGTGAAGATGCCGTCCACCTCCTTCCAGACCTGGAGCTCCTTGGCCTGGGTACCGACGGCCACTAAGGCAGCGCAGAGGTCGGTGTATCCACGTCCAATGGAGTTGAGCAGTCCGCCGGGCACGTTGCCAAAGTATCCGGTAATAACAGGCACCTTGTCGCCGCATGCTGCCACCTCTTTGCCCAGGTCCTCGGCCAGATCCTTGTAGAACTTGTCGTTGAGCCCGCCCTTGATAGGCGCGTGGAGCCTGACGATGTCGCTGAGGTCGACAAACTGGGCCGGGGTGCCGCGATCGTTCAGGATGGCGGCCATGTAGCGGCAGCTCAGCTTCTCGCCCTTGCTGATGATCTTGTCCTCGGCGCGGTTCGTGACTTCCTCCAGGTGCTGCGCGGATTCCAAGATCTTGACGAGGCTCTCACACTCGGCATTGACCTCCTCCGTGTACGACGCCAGGATGTCCGGGTTCCTCAGGATGTCCTTGCCGGCCTGGATGTGGTCGGTGCGGATGGCCTCGACGATCTCGTCATAACCGCGGTGGTTGGGCTTTTCGGCAGCGCGGGCGGCGCGAAGGAGGCGGTTGGTGGTTCCCTCGAGCTTGGTGTTGCTGCTGCGTGCGGAGCAGACAATGGCGGCGCGGTTCGTCGCAAGACCAGCTCTGTTTACTGTCAGCGCCTTCCATCTGGTGGGGGTTGGGATGGGTCGCACTTGACGATGCCCGCTATGTTCTCCGCAAACTTGCCCACGCTCGTGCCCCCGAACTTGAGGACAACCCAGCCTCCAGGTAGGTGCTTCTCTTCCGTGTGAGCTATCCGCTCGGACTGGTGTGTGGTTCCGTTTGTGTATGCAGACATGGTGGTGTTCTGTGGTTTCTCCAAGCAATTGGCGAGGTAAAGTTTCCTAGATGTTGGTATATACCAATGATGTATGGAAGACGTGTTATTCTCAGTATATGACGTGTGTTGTGTCGTGTGAAGTCTGGAGCAGCGGAGTGAGGGAATTCTCAATGTCTTTTAGTGGGGCCTGAGTCAGAAAGTCCATGTTCGCGCCCGCAATCGGCGCCGGCGCTGCTGACGCCATGCCAGCGAACCACGACTCCACAACCCAGGAACATGCACACACACACCTCAACGGAACGGATCGGTGCATGCGCATGTCCTCCCGGTAGCCAATGGTGCGCTCGCTATTCAGCTACTGCGCGCTCGTCCGCACCCTTCGCAGCCCACGTCTCAACACCACGTCCTCTGGCGCCTCTGATACCTGACAGCTCATTCCTCTTATCGCGTCCTAGCGCGTCGTCCAAATTACCGTGTCGTCCGCGTCCGACTACGTGCCGGTAGTTGCTCTTCGGCCCATCGGCTATTCGTCTTCTCTGTCTTGTGTACCACACGTGCGACACTCCAGTAATCACGGTATTATCTAGCCATCTCTAGTCGACGGGGAATTGATCCGAAGATGTCCACATCCATACATCGGGAACATGCGTCTAGGAATTGGTCGCTCATCAACGACATTGCGTGAATCAATCTGGACCCAATGATCACGCATTGCGCAAACATCTCCGCAAGCTCCTTAGATTGGTCGCCATTCGATGAAGTATGCCATCAGATCCTCAAGTCAGAACTTTCTTGCAAACCACGAGGTACCTGTCGACAAAGCGAACATTGTCAGATGCAAATATACGAGGCAAATAAGGCTAACCCCTTCTCCGTGCTCACAATGCACTCTATGCCGCCTCGCTAACCCTAGTATACTCTAGCAGATCTCGAAAAGTTGCCTCATCCTCAATCTCAAGCGCTCGACTTTGCAGGCTTTGCAGTTCCTCCCGGCCGTAACTACCGCATGCCAATAATTTACCAGCAATAGTTCGATACCCTCTACCAACTGCTTCAGCTAGAGCGTTCCCTATCTCTGCATTGTACTCTAGAAGAAGAGAAACAACAGCAAACTGTCCATACCGTACTGCTGTCTCCAACGCCGGTTTACATGTATCCGCACCATGTCCTAGCAACACCCGAACTACTTCCTCATGTCCGTTCCGACAAGCGCCTAGAAGGGGTCGCTTCTCGTACTCACTAGACGAACCAAAGCCGTCTACACGGGCGCCAAGTGCAAGATAATGCACTGTTATATCCACCCACCCATTCCTCGCGCTACGCACTAAGAACGCCGTGTATTCCTCAACACCAAACGTTCTGGTAACGCAGTGTTCTATTCGCTTCTTGACAAGGAAGTCATAAATCTCCAAACTGGGTGTGTCCAGCGCAGCCAACGCTCGTTCGTTCTGACACCAGTAGGAAGGTCTCTTGGTCTTTCTGTCAAGCATCCACGGACGTTCCACGGCCTGGAAATTCCACAAGAACTGCGTCGTCTCTACACGCCCATACTTGGCGGCCTCGATGAGCAAGCGCATTCGCATATACTGAAAGTCATAGTCATACCTCAAGTTCAGCATAGCGGCAAGAACCTCGTGATTGCTGAACCTACCAGCGTGGAAGCATCCCGAACCAAAGAGCCAACTTGGTTTATTGAAATGTTTCCCGTGGAGGGTCCATCTCGCGACAACAGGGAGTGTCTGTGTGTACAGGGCAGCAATATAGACATCGGTGTCCAGATCGTTATCATATAAACGCCCGTCATGCCAGTGCTCAGGTAAGTGGGCTTCACGCCAATGCTCAGCTAGGTCGGTCGTCCATAGTTCGTCTAGACGGTTGAATTTCTCCAACACAAGGGGGCATAGCTGACGAATGTAGTCGTGCTCGTTTCGCTCATCGTCAGTCTCTTGACTGAGACGGTTGGCGACGCTGCGGATCCAGAGTAGAACAGGAGCTCCGTCACATTGCTCGTTCAATACCCGGCGCTCAAGATAAGCTATCAACATAGTAGGTGCAGCCTCCTTGCTAAGATGTAACAGCGGCCGGAACTCGGCATCCAGAAGCTTGTATAGGGCAAGTACCCTCATAATTTCCCCATCAAAAATCTCTATAGCCGCTCGTTAGCACAGGTACCTGCGCACAAGATGTAGAGGGAAGCTTACTATTCACAAGCCGTAATCGAAGGCCGCGCTTCGTTCCCCGCACTAAGATCGCCCAGCCAAGGATTTCATGCAAAAGCTCCAACGGCAAATCTAGCAGATGCATGGTGTATAGAGTGGTCAGCTTTGTAAACAAAATAGCTGCTCGCGAGAAGAAGGAGATTTAAGAAGCACGTAAAGCGGTCAGCGGCTCTTCTTGTTCGAACACATTCGGGCCCGAAAAGTCGCGCTAAGAGGACCCCGGAAACCACTTGATTGGCTACTAGTAGCGGCGTAAGCTGCTGCCTGCCATCGCCTTCCTAACCTGAACAACAACCATGTCGTAGGTGGTTATACAATTACACGCACTCCATTACCTGCTTGCATCCTCATCATATCTCCACATCGGGAACATGCCTCTGGAACCCAGCCGCTCATGTCAATGAGAGGCGACGTCGATCCATTCGAACTCACGGACCACTCGCGGCTGTCGTTCGACGCTCCAGTATCACGGCATAGTTCAAGCTGTCTCCGTGACGACCAACCCGCAATCTTAACTGTGCCTCTCATTTAGGAGTACGTTCATCTCAACTATCCGAGACTTACCCAGCACTCCTGACTCAGACGCGAGGAAGGCCCAAGTCCTGTCTAAACATGTTCTCGCAGCGTCAAAGATCAGATGGCCTCTTATCTGTATTGCATGTTCATGAATCTATTTCAGCGAACTGTTAGGGCTCGATGCGGCCAGGACCCGTGTTCTACCTTCCTATACCGCTGTTTGCGTCTCGTTACTCCCGTCAGCTCGTCACAAGGCCAAGATGTGGCACAGCTCTGATCACACCCAAACACGCAATGACCGGGACCTTCCACGACGTTCATTGCTGGCCACACGGCACGCTCGTCTCTACGAATCAAAATTGGAGAATTGAATCACCACGCAGGAGATATTAACCTTACCCGATACGGCATGCGCATGACGGCAGGCGACTTATTGCGAGTCGCGACCAACGCGTCGTGATGGAGCACTCAGCTCTTCTTCGTCGCGCACATCGTCTCTTATTTCACGTTTCTTATTATTCAGTTCAAGCCTCTGTTGCATGATCGCCCACTGCGCACTATGGCGGGTATCGAAGACGTTTACAATGAACTCTACACCGTCTCTCCGGGTCGTTTTTGGCCAACGGCAGGTGGTACAGTCTCTTTTGAGCCACTCACGACCCATTTTACATACTCCACGACTTGCACCGAGAATTGGAGAATCAACGGAGAGGTTCCCAACCCGAGCCTTCTCTCGCTTTCCATTCCCAGCTCTTGCCAACCGTCGGGCGGTCAAGCTATCAATAGCCCAGGCACATGCCTTGATGGATACCAAATAGCCAATTTGGTGGAATTTAGAACAACGCCAGATGTGTCAGGCGGGCCACGAGTCTGGGGAGCAGACTGCTGCCGAAGGTCCTCTTATTTATCAGTCAACCTGAAAATGTGCTGACAACTGATAGTGGTTTCGCCTGGTCTCGCGAAACGTGCACATCTGTCTTCAGCACGCCTGTCACTGCATACTTTCCAAAACGAATTCCTGGTACTTCTACGTACGACGACGGCTCGACTGTTACATTCACCGCCTTTGACGAGGATTCTAGAGACAATGCCACCGTAGTCACCAGCGGGGTCATGTACATGGACGCGATGCTAGTATACTGGCAAGAGTCCGACTTGTCAAACTTCGATCGAGATTATGCGTCATCGCTCGCAGAGGTCTTGCTCCCGAGCAACACATTTACGCCCACACCCACATCGACCGCACGATTCATAGCCGAGACAGCGTCACCACCAAATCGAAGCCAATATGCATCAGCCACGGCGCCGGCAAAATCAAACTCTGTTGAGGCTGCCGACTCTTCCAACCCGGCTCTCACTAGCGGCGCCAAAGCAGGGATTGGCGTTGGAGTGGTCGTGGGAGTAATACTACTGTGTGCTGGTGCTTTCTTGCTCTACAGGACACGAGCTCGGAAGGCGAAGCTCGACCGCAAGTCGAGTTTACAGAACGAACAACCTGAGTTCGTTCAGACAAGCGCTGCATAACTGGAAGTGCTGAGAGTAGGCGCTCTCGCCGCTAGTTGTTGGAGATGGAAGTGTGAAGGCCGGGCTAGGCTTGGTGGGATATCACGATAAAGAGAAGGAAGTAATTCAATTTCGTACGGGCATTTGTGAGCAGAAGAGAAGAACGTGGATGGTTGCACCTCCCATTGATCGACGGCGGATTGATACGACGCAGCGGACATTCGCAACGGCCGCTCGATAACCAACACCAACCTTAATATACCAGTTCCGACCGATATTATGCATTTGTTGGCTTACCGTCATTCCGCCAGCGCCCTATCCAAGGGGAGGACTGGACACACACCTCCGCGAAGTACAGCTATAAGAAATGCTAAGAAGGTTACATTGCCTCAACATTCTACAAACTTAGATCAGCAAGGTATCGTAGACTTCCAGGTAACAGTACAGGTTGCTCCTTGAATGGGCAGCCAGGGTCAAACGGAGCTCAACGCGAGGAGGCGGGATGAAGATGCGGCACAGCACCAGGCAACGCCCAACAGCCAATGATTCGAGACTTTCCACGGGCCACACCAAGCTCTGCCTCATGCGCATATACGGCGTAGTTGTCTCTGCGAATGAGACATCGAGGATCGAATCACCATGCAGGAGAACATAACGCATTCTGTTTTGGGTTGGTAACGGCAGCCCGGACGCCACCGACACGCTGTGTCATTGAAGTACCCGGTCCTCGCAGATAGCTCATCTGTGATAACCTTTCGAATCTACATCAATTACTTCCGACTTCCTTTGGCAACACAAGGTCTGACAATCGTCATCATGGCAGGCCTCGCAGATGCTGGCCTCACAATCCACACTGTACGATCAGGCGGATTCTTTCCAACCAATGATGAGCTCAACCATTACTCGCCAATTCCGACTTCCTTCACATTTGCGTCGACATGTACCGACCAATGGATTATCCAGGATCCGTTGACCCCAACAGTCCTCACAAACCCCGTTCCCACATCATGCCTACCTCACAGCACCCGGGACTACAATAGCCCAGGCACATGTATCACCAATTACCATATGGTTGCACTGGCCGAATACAGAACTACAGGTTGGACGCCAGGGGGTTCACGCGCATGGGGTGCTGTTTGTTGTAGGGAGTACGTCTATGGATCCAGCCATCACAGAGCTAATCCTGTTACCTGAAAGCCCAAGCATTCAAGCTGACGAGGACAATAGCGGCATGTTGGCATCAGACGCGACAGCGAGCGCTTGCAGTTCCAGCTTCAGCACACCCGTCACCGCGCTATATCCTTCCAACGCCTACCCCGCCCTCATCAGCGATCCAGCTGGAGAAGAGCCAAGAGAGATAAGCGAGGGAGTTCAGTTGATGGCCCCCATGATAGTCTACTGGCAAGAGACCGACCTGTCAAAATTTGATCCTGGATATGCGGCAACACTAGCCAAGAGACTCGACATCGACTTTACGCCAACAGCCACCTCCGAAACGGCGCCTCCGTCAGACCGCAGCCAATCCACTTCATCTACTTCTCCGGCGGACGATGGTGGCGAAAATTCATCCAAACCGGATCTCAGTATCGCCGCAAAGGCAGGCATAGGCGTGGGCACCGCTGTCGCCGCTATCCTGATGGTTGTCGCCGGACTTATACTGTACAGGAGATACGTTCGCAAGAAGGCGAGGCTTGACCGTAAAGCTGCTTTACAGAACGAACAACCTGAACTCGTGCAGACACGCGCTGCATAACTCCACCTTGCCGACGGCGACCTCTATATCCCCACATCGAGATAATGCAGTTGGAACTCGACGAGTTTGACAGATAAGGGATGCGATCTCGTTGGTCTGTGCACACCCGACACTCTACATTTCATGGTTCTTTTTACAGCATTGCCAGGGGTGGTGATGGACGTTCGCTCTGCTTTCAAAGTCTATTAAGAGCAGGAACATCGCGATAGCCACCTGTCCCTTCTCATTGCACCCACTGCTTCTGTTTAGTCACAAAGGCTAGTCCGAGTTCGACGTCCCTTCAGCTTGTTGGTCGGTATCCATCGACACTCTACTGTTCTATCCTGTAGCGCTGGGAGCTATTGTATATATAGTCCGGGTTACATTTCTTTCCGCCCTTCGGTACAGTTCTTTGTCTCCCATCTGTCCGCTGCCAAATGCGGCGGAACTAGGCAGGAGGCTGCGGGAACGTCATGCGGCACAGTTCTGGTCACAACACAATGACCAATGGCAGGCACTTACCGCCATTTATGTTCCTTGCGCGTTCAAGACACAGTTATTCCCGCAGATTAAGTTGTATGCAAGGGCCAAAAGCGCGGTTTGTGACGCGTTGGTACACCGGTATCGGTTAGAGAGATCGCCATCACCGACGCGTTGTGGTTTCAATGGAGGTTCTCTACAAAGGCTGCTAAACTAGAGTGATATAACAGACTCGATCTCATATTAACTTCATCCTCACCCCAACCGTAAGCTGTGCATCATGGCAGGTCTTTTGACTGCTCGCCTTACCATCAAAACGGTATCACCAGGACAATTCTTTCCGACGACATCTTCGAACGCTATAGTCACTTGGCCACCGCTCACGACTCCATTTACGACTCCATCTCATTGCACCAATGAATGGACAATCCTTACCTCGGGTGACACCACTGTAGGGAATGGGCCAGCTAGCAACTGTTTACCTGGCGGAAGCTATACGCACAGTCCGGGTACAGTGCTCAGTGACTACCACATCGTTGACGTAGCTGAGTATAGAACACCGGGGTGGACAGCAGGCGGACTTCGCGCATGGGGTGCCGCCTGTTGTAAAAAGTACGTCGTACCATGAACCTAGGGCACGGCTATATACAAAAGAGTCATGACTTGAGCAAAGCGCACTTTTGCTAACACCGATGGCAGTGGTTGGACGAACACAGAAACCATCGAGGGCTCCTTTTACTGCTTTTCATCGTTCATCACACCCATCACCGCATTGGACCCCTGGGCCGGAACTGGCCGTGAGCATAGAACCACCACTACCGTACTCAGCCGGGGAGAAATAGTAGATAGGAACATGCTTATCTACTGGATGGAGTCCGACTTGTCCAAATTCGATGCCGACTACGCGGCGACGTTGGAAGAGAGGTTTGCCATCGGCATGAGCGCAGAACCCGCAACTGTTATTGCAGAAAGCACGTCATCTGATTCCTCTTTTACGTCGACTGCAACAATGGCCGTTACGAAAGACACGGCAGCACCGTCAGCTCGAACCAAATTCACCTCGGTAACGTTAACATCGTCGTCATCATCGGTGGCACCACACTCCAAAGAAAAGGCCGATAACTCCGATTTTGGGCTCAACGCTCGCGCTAAGGCTGGCATAGGCTTAGGAACTGCCATCGCGGTAATACTGATGGGTATTGCTGGATTTGTAATGTACAGGAAAAAAGTCTTGAAGCAACGCGCCCTTGATCAAAAGTTCGCTAAACAAAATGAGCAGCCAGAGTGGGTGCAAAAGCAGAGGGCTTAGCCGACAGAATGGATGAGGTACGCTCCCTCTACTGGGAAGCCTTCGGATTTACGATTTGCTATAGGCCGATTGTGTTAGAGATGCTTAGAAGAAAGAGGATGAAAGATTGGTGCTGAGTCCATGTGCACCCCGTACAGGAAAAGGCTCAATAGGCCTGCAGACTACATCAAGATGGAATGATGCAGATTGTGTGACCTAACGTTGATATAGGCTTCCCAGGGTCTTCAGGTTTATCCTGGGTTGACATGCATGGGTGGAGGAAGCTTGTATAATGATGGTGGACATTCTCTCTGCAACGCGTACGCAACACGTATCTACTCTCGATGTATTGCTTGCTAAAATCGTAGTGCACAGCAAGGATTGCGCTTTTCAGGCACGCAAGCGATACCGTATCCCGTAACATTGGCCAATGCCGCATGGAGTAGATCCCTGTGTGCTTTCCCGCCCTTTGCCAATCGCCGTCGACCTATTAGAGCCCAGCAATATCGAACGTACAGTTCCTGGACAAAGACGTGGCACGTCCCTCAACGCCCTCAATCCTGCACACATGTGGCACAGCTCCCTTCACAAATCAGATGCGGCTCATCGAGCCACCACGCATAGGGTAGCGGCGCGCTCTTTTACGCATTTGGAACGTCGCCACCGACCCGTTATGAGCAATGTATCCAGCCCTGGCAAATACTTGACGTGGGCTTATTACAATGTTTCTACGTCCATCCGGGAACTGTTGTCCACAGAGTTGCTGTCATGTCATCAAACATCGATGATGCTTCTCTTGCCATCTATACAGTATCAGGAGACCAATATCCGCTAGTAAACACATTCAGTACTGTCCCGCCGCTCACCACTCCCTTCACTTTCAAACCGACATGTACCGAAGGCACGAAGTTTCAGGACCCGGGTCAACCCAGCCGTGTCCACAACTTCATCCCCCTCTACTGTCAACCCGATACCACCATGACGCATAGCCCGGGCTCATGTGTTAGGGGCTATCAGATAAAGCAGATAGTCGAGTTCCGAACGCCGGATTGGACGTTAGGCGGATTGAGGGCATGGGGAGCTGCTTGTTGTAGAGAGTACGTGTGATATTTTGGCTGTCGAGGCGATTGCCCCGGATTACACCTGGCCTGGCCTTGACTGGGATTTCTCCTGCTAACACCCTCGATAGTGATTATATGGCAACGGCATCCGACGCAACAGAGTGTGTATCAGCCATAGATACGCCCATCACCGCGTATACCGTGGCGGACGCGACCTTGCCAACGAACGCCGCTGGGCAAGAAATACCCGAAAAGCCCTCCATCATCTCCAGTGGAACGGTCATCATGCAACCAATGTTAGTCTACTGGCAAGAGTCAGATCTTGTTCACTTCGATTCCGACTACGCGTCTACACTAGCTTCGAAATTCGATATCGGCTTTGCAGCAATGGAAACGCCGGGTCCGGCAACAGAAAGACCAAGACTGACGACAGTATCGCCGCAATCAGACTCCACAAAAGGAACAGCATCGCCGTTAGATCAAACCCAAGCGCCCCCGGTAACATCATCACCACCCGCAACAAACTCCGAAGCACCGACTAGCCTCTCAAAACCAGGCCTCAGTACAGGCGCCAAAGCAGGCATAGGATCAGCCGCAGTCGTTGCAGCAATACTACTATTAGTTGCCATTGGATTTATACTATATAAGAGATGGCTCCATAACAAGGCAGGACTAGACGGGAAAGCTGCTGAATTGAATGAACAGCCGGAGTTTTTGGATGCGGATCTGGTGCGTTGGAGAAGAGACAAGGGAACGGGGTTGTGAGCGCGGCCAATATGGGTGCACGAGTTACGACGCAGAAGTGAGGGAATGCGATATTGCCAGCGAGACCATGCGGAAGGTGGTCGGTGTGGCTTCGCGAGGCGGGTTGAGATGGGGGTGTAATGACATACAGGCGCACATAAATGATCCCACTTCTAGTCGCATCTTGCGCGTTTCGGAATATGGCCATGTTGATAGTTTATTACAGTGAGTTGCGACTCGATACTTGTCTTCCTTCATGTCTGGTCGGAACGTAGTTGCGTCATGTGATCGGGAGCCATGCCAACGTCCGCCTTGATATCAAAGCAACAGTAGCTCACCAACCACGTCACCAGGCCCATCGAACCATGCTTGCACCCACGTGAGATCATGAAAGGCGTCGAATAGCGTGGCATGCATCACCCGCAGACGTTTAGCGCGCTGATCTCCCGTCGCGGCATGCGCATCTCCTGATTGGCTACTTTGATCCTACGCATTCGGCATTCTCATTTGCATAGACGTGAACCACGACAGGCGTCATGCTCTCCTCGCTGACCATTGTCTTGTTGAAGGTGCTGACTCTGCACACTATTTGGTGATATCGTCTACGTCATCACACGCCTAAACTAAACCGCATTGAGCGCACTACGAGACACCTTCAGAAAGCGCGAACGGCATGGGCTGGAAGCCGTGGAAGCCGCGATACGTAGCTTCAAAACACAGCCCTGGAGAATTTGAAGGCAATCGCTTCGTTTCCATAGTAGAGAAGCTTCCCTACCCTTACGGCACAGCTGCCTTTCTTGTGACTTCCAGCTGCCCACCATGAACTACATCTCAAGTACAGCTCCCCTACTACCACAATCCCACCACCCCAAACTAACACCCCAGACCTCGTTAACTCGGACGACATCATCAACCCCCTCATCGACAATGGATACCTCCCCAACCCGGTCATTCGCGTCGGTATCCGGCGCCAACTCGCTGACCGCCTCACGTCTATCGCCAACACCTCTCTCCAGGCGAGCTATGAGTCCAAGATGAAATACGTGGAGCTACTCCGCGAACGACCCATTGCCATCGAGACCAAAACAGCAAATGAGCAGCATTATGAAGTCGGAACGAGTGTGCTGAAGGGTATGCTGGGCCCGCGGATGAAGTATTCGGCGTGTTTGTACGAGAAAGGTGGGGAGACGTTGGGGGAGGCGGAGGTCAGGATGATGGAGACGTATGTTCAGAGGGCAGGGTTGAAGGATGGGATGACTGTTTTGGATCTGGGGTGAGTTCTCATCCTTTTCGTTCTTTTCATCCTCTCCTTCATGATTTCGATCATTTCCGCACTAGATCTCGAAGACAACACACCACGGACACGAGAAATCACGTGCCCCACTAACACCCCCATCCACAGTTGCGGCTGGGGCTCCCTCTCCCTCTACCTCGCCGAAATCTTCCCCAACAGCCGCATAACCGGCTTCTCCAACTCGCGCACCCAGAAACAACACATCGACTCCGTCGCCGCCTCCAAGGGCTTCAAGAACCTCACTGTCGTAACCGGCGACGTGGTAGACCATGAATTCGACCCCGAAGTCTACGACCGCGTCCTCTCCATCGAGCTCTTCGAGCACATGAAGAACTATTCTTTGTTGATGGCCAAAGTAAGCCGGGCCTTGAAACCAGGCGGCAAGCTCTTCGTGCACATCTTCGCGCACAAAGATACGCCGTATGATTTCGAAGGCGGGTGGATGACGGAGCATTTCTTTACGGGAGGCACCATGCCTTCTGCCGACCTCCTCCTCTTCTTCCAGGACGACCTCAAGATTAAGAGACAGTGGTGGGTTAGCGGTATGCATTATAGCAAGACGTGTGAGGATTGGTTGACGACCATGTTGAGCAATAAAGAGAGTATTTGGAAGGGCCTTGTGGAGACGTATGGTGAGGAGGGGGCGTTGACGTGGTGGAATAGGTGGCAGGTTTTCTATCTGGCTTGTTCGGAGTTGTTTAGGTGGGATGGGGGCGATACGTGGGGGGTTAGTCATTATTTGTTTGAGAAGAAGGAGTAGGTTGGTGGAGGAGGGGAAGTTGGGCGTGGTTTTGGGGAGGATGGTTGGTATGTAATGCTTGATTCCACTCTGATCACAACAAGATCGGTGTACGCTGTTGTGGTTCGCATGATTGTGTTTTTGAGTTCCCGTCTTTTTGGGCGGTGCTCTCGTTCTGTACATGTACGAGATGGTACTTGCTAGATGGATGGCGCCGGATAAAGATACACGCCCTCACCATTTACCCCTCCCGAGGTCTCCAACAACATCACATCTTAACTTCTGAACTGCGTAACCACACATCGATTGATTCTACGCCTATTTTATTACCGCTCAACTCCCATAAAGCTAATCGCCACCAAGCAAGCCACCCTTCAAATCAAGCTGGCAGGCCCAGATTCCCCGGGAAAAATAATCTACAAACACCATGACGAAGCCCTCCCTTCCGTCCAAAATGTGGGCCGCACAAGTCATCTCCTTCAATGAACCCTACAAGGTGCACGAAATCTCCGTCCCATCAGAACTTGCACCGCACGACCTCCTCATAAAAGTCGCCGTCGCCTCCCTCTGCCACACAGACTCCATGGTCTCTTCAGGCGCAATGGGCACACCACTTCCCTGCACCGGCTCCCACGAGGGCGCAGGCACCGTCGTAGCGACCGGCACGTCTGTAACACAGTTTACTGTCGGCGACCGCGTGATGGCGGGTATTCTGTACGACGCCTGCGGTACGTGCGCTGAGTGTACGGGGGGTCTACATGGATATGGATCGGCAGCTCCGCAGTATTGTCAGAATACTGGGGGTTTTCTTGGTATAACGAGACATGGGTTTTTCGCCGAGTACGCAAAGGTTGATGCGAGACAGACTGCGAAGATACCGGGGAGTGTTTCTTTTCTTACTGCGGCGCCGCTGGCTTGTGCAGGGGTGACGGTTTATCGCGGGATTGTCTTAGCGGGGGTGGGGAAGGGAAAGTGGATTGCTGTTGTGGGTAGTGGAGGCGGGTTGGGCCATCTTGGAGTGAAGTTTGCGAAGGCGATGGGGGTGAATGTTGTTGGGATTGATGCGAGGGATGAGGGGTTGGAACTAACGCGGCTGTGCGGTGCGGATGTTACTATCGATGCTAGGATTGGGATGGAAGAGGTTATCAAGGCTGTGCGTGCTTGTACGGGGAACGAGGGGGTAAAGGCTACGCTGAACGTTAGTGATGCGAAAGAGTCGGCGGCCTTGGCTTGTGCGGTTACGAAGATGCATGGGACGATGATACAGCTTGCGCAGCCGGATGGTGTGGTTATTCCGTTTCATGAACTCATTTTGAGGGATATCAGGGTGAGGGGGTCGGCTGTTGCTAACCTGAGTGAGGCGCGGGATATGCTGGATTTGGTTGCCGGGCATGGTATCACGGTGCAGACCAGTTCGTTTCAGGGGCTGGGTGAGATTGAGAAGTTGGTAAAGCTGGCGCATAGCGGGAAGATGAAGGGAAAGGGTGTTGTCATCATGGATCAAGAGCAGATTGAGAAGGAGAAGAATGTCAGATCGGCGTTGTAGGGAGATGCATTGCCAAAACCCCTCATGCTTACACTTTACAATGTAGACGTCGTAGATGCGCTTGTTTTGGAAACGTCATACCTGGGTATTCTCATCAGGAGGAGTCGCGGCACGACAAGGCCCGAAAACGTTGGAGAAGGGTAGATGTGGGGTCTTCTCCGCAATGTGGGGAACGACACCTTCACGCATGTCAACTAGCGTTTCGGCACCCATGTCTTCACCCAGCCGAGAAGGCTTGTTCCTGCACGATACATTAATAACGGAACATGGTGGAGATCTGGGTCATCTCTTCGCGGTACACATTTTACGTCTTTCACAATGACACCATCACCTATGTACATCGACCCGGAATACCAGTCCACACATTTCAACCTCTTTAAAGACTCTATTACCGTTCCACTGAAGTCCGTACTGCCACCTGGTATTAGCCGAGATGCATTTGACAAGGCAGTCGCGAAATACAAGGGTGTTGTTGGTGATGCGCAGGTGTATACAGGTGATGCATTGACGGAGTACATCGATCCGTATGAGTTGCACGAGGCGGAAGGAATCCGCAAGATGCCCAGCGCAGCCGTACGCCCAAAGAATATCGAGGAGCTACGAGATGTCTTGAAAATTTCGAACGAATTTGGCATTCCAGTATGGACTTTCTCACGAGGAAAGAATCTCGGGTCAGTACCTCCCATACCTATACAAACTAGCTCCAACCCATCTGACCATCGTATAGATACGGCGGACCAGCCCCTCGCGTAACCGGCTGCGTAGCCCTCGACCTCCACCGCATGGACAAGATCATCGAAGTAAACGCCGAATACGCCTACGCCGTCGTCGAACCAGGCGTCACATTCACCGATCTCTACGACTACTGCGTCAAGAACAAGCTCAACGTCTGGCCATCCGTACCCTCTCTCGGCTGGGGCTCAGTCATCGGAAACACAATCGATCGCGGTACGGGCTTCACACCCACAGGGACGCACCACCAACACATCGCCGGCGTGGAAGCCATGTTGGCAAACGGCGAGCTCGTCCGAACAGGCCAATTCGCCATGTCCAACTCGCCATCCGCACACCTCTCCAAGTTTTCGTTCGGACCCAGCATCGAAGGCCTGTTCCTGCAGTCCAATCTCGGTATCGTGACTAAACTAGGTATCTGGCTCACGCCCGCGCCCCAAGCCTTCATGTCCTGCTCGTTCGACATGCCGGATTTCGAAGACGTGGAAACGATTGTCGATATCTTCGGGCCGTTGCGACGCGACGGGCTGCTTCCCAACACCGTGTACGTGTCCAACGTAACGGAGTGGCTGGGTATGATGGGCCCGAGAGAAGATTTCTGGCCACACGATACTTCGATACCGGACTGGAGGATCAAGGAGTTGCAGAAGCAATTTGATCTGGGGTACTGGAATGCCAAGTTCGGTTTGTACGGCGCGAAGGATGTGATTCAAGCGCATTTCGACGAGCTGAAGAAGATTATTGGGAAGAAGGCGCCGAAGGGACGGTTGGTTGGGAAGATCTTTTCTGCGCCGGATGGAGAGACATTGGATCCGACATCTGTTCCTGAGATGGATGGTGGTTTCTTCGTTGGCATACCGACGCTCTGGTCGCTTCCCATGGTGAAGTTCCGCCTACCCAAGTCCGGGGGTGGCATTGGTGCGCATTACGACTACAGCCCTATCATTCCTTCCAAGGGCAAAGAGATTCTGGACTGGGTCAGGACGGCGAAGAAGATCTGCGAGAAGGATAACTTTGATTTGTTCTGTGACTTCTTTATGCATGAGCGTCATGGTAAGATCGGACTCTTAAGTGGTGGATGATGACATACGCTGACGCTGATACCTTATCTAGTCATCTTCGTCAACATGTTCACGTTTGACAAGACGAACGCGATGCATCGAAAAGCGGTGCAGAATATCTTTGATGGCCTGTTTGAGGCGGGGAAGAAGAGGGGATACAGCAAGTATCGCAGCCACGTCAACACCATGGGTACGTCTTTGGTCTTCTTGGAAGTAGCCGTGCGCAGTCGCTAATTTCTATCCAGATCGTGTCGCATCGCTGTACGATTTCAACGATCATGCGTATCGAAGGTTCGTCGAGACGATCAAAGACGCTGTCGACCCCAATGGTATACTGTCGCCTGGTAAGCAGGGTATCTGGCCAAAGCGGTTCCGGGGGGATGAGGTGTCAAAGGCGCATCTATGAGCTATCCTGCAGATATCGAAGGCGCGAGCGCAGAGATGAATATGTACATTATTGCTTGAGCTTGGAGACAGAAGCTTCGAATTGCATCGGTACAGGCATCTCAGCTAGCCAGCTGAGTCCAATATTCAACGTGTCATAATGACATACCGTGGTGTTGCGATGAGCTTGTGCTCAGCAATCAGCTATTTGAGCGAGATGCGGTCGACCATGAAACGTAGACGAGGACAAGACCGTAGCAGCCGAATGCGTGTTCAATCTCGAAGCCCGATCAATGGGAGCTGCCTCAGAGAATCGTCGAGGCACAGCGTCCACTGCGTATCGAAGCTCGGATCGTCACAACAATCAGCACAGAGTATGAACTGACGAGGAATGTATGTCCAATTATAGTCCTACACATCCACAGAAGAATATGGGTAGGGTGGAGAAGACACGGCTCTGCTAAAAACCAATATTAATCTCCCACAGAGAGAAAAGTTGCTTCCTGGCCATGAAGACGAGCCAGGGAGCAGGCAAGAGTGGGGTAGTAGCATTCAACACGCACAGCAGCGACGACTCCCAGAACGACAAACATTGAATCATTCCGTGTCGAGCACGTGCCGCAAGCTGTGCATCGCGAGGTTGTTGATGAGCAGAAGAACGAGCCAGAGCTTGGTTTTACGTGTGAAGAATTAGCCCGCTCGGACCCTCTGTCTTTGTCAGCATGGCTTGGCGCTGCCCGCGCGCCTGAAAAGCTCGTCGCAGCTCGGCCTCAGCTTTCCTTCCATATTCACAAAATCACAATGGACGATTAATCAACGGCTATATTGAGCTCTTCATCTCTATAGTTGTCATATTTGCGTCACTAGAACAATACCTGGCACTTTTAGGCTTTTTGCTACGATTTCTATGTTGCTTGAAGCCACCTGCGTGACCATACATTCTTTTGAACAGTGCGGAGAGTTTGAACGTGCTATTTGCGTGTATTTCGCGTATGCCTGTGTACTTTTGACTAGGTGGGAAGATTCCTTCTCTAGAGTACCAGGGAGCTGACGACGGCAATGTCTGTCAGCCTTGGATCGTATCTGCGGCAACGAAGACGGCGGCCTCGGCCTTACCAAAACCAGATCGGCAGCGTCTACGAGTCGCGCCACCAAGCCTGCACGTCGTTCATGCGCTGTCGTAAGCTGTTCCACGCCCATCGGGTTGGGAGGTCGATGATGTACTTTTGGGCGGAGGGCAGCAAGCTCAGACAGGGGCATGATGCCGTATATAGACCAAAAACGCAGGGTTCTGGAGCTTGTGCGGATGCCATGTGTGAAGTGGAACGGATGCATTACTCGTCATCGCGCGTGTCAACTAAGGGCCCTACGAGCTCCCCTTTCTGTGCTCATGTTTTGCTTTGCGATGGACTTGTTCATTCTCTGGTAATCTTAGCTACGCGCCCTCTTGCCGTCCGTCCTGCCCCCTTTCCCCGCGCGTATTGCTCTCGTGCACGTTCTGCCGCTCCCCGATCTTCAACCTCCGCCCGAACCGCTTCCTCCTTCCAGACTGGACGACATGGCGTCGGCCCTGAACAAACGCCAGCAGGCGCGTAATGAGCGTGCGCTGCAGGACCTCATCAAGACGGTCCCTGGCAACGGGACATGCGCAGACTGTGGCGCGCGGAATCCAGGTACGTAGTGCAGGCGCATCTCGTTGGGCTCTCAGATGCTAACCAGGTCATACAGGATGGGCAAGCTGGAGTGTAAGTCTACCCATACCACGAAGCGAAACCGTACCCCTCTACGAGCCGATCATCCCTCGACCGTGAGCCCAAACTGACGTCTGCTGTAGCTGGGCATCTTCCTGTGCATGCGATGCGCGGCCCTACATCGGAAGCTGGGAACGCACATCTCCAAGGTCAAGTCCTTGAGTATGGACAAGTGGGACAATGCGCAAGTAGACGTAAGATGTTTCGGACCTCCGCGGTTCATAACGGATAGCTGACACCTGTGTAGAACATGAAGCGCATTGGCAATCTCGAGTCGAACAAGACGTATAACCCGCGCAACGTCAAGCCCTCCATACCCATCGACATCGACGAAGTAGACAGTGCCATGGAGAGATACATACGGGCGAAATACGAGCAGAGGATATACTTGGATGCGTCGCGACCGGGCACGCGACAGAACACAGGCAGCACGAGCTCTGAGGACCGGCCACCGCCATTACCGCCGAAGCCCACCGGCCGCTTTGGATTTGGATTGCGAAAGGCCTCCACGACACGGGATCTCACTCCTCCGCTGTCACCAGGTCTGGGAGGGTTCAGTCAACACGACCAGTCGCCGCCACGCATCAACAAGCCGTCCAGGGTTTTCGGCTCCAACATACACACTTCGGGCGATGGCCTGGATTCGAAGCTTACAACTCTTCGGGACATGGGCTTTCCAGACGACAAGCGTAACGCCACAGTGTTGAAGGGGTTGAATGGGAATCTGGACCGGGCAGTGGAGGCTCTGATTCGACTTGGAGAGCAGGATCCTGGCAGATCGAGAGGAAGCACACCGACACCGGCTTCGCAGCCTGCGTCCAATGGCATTTCGTTCGACACAATCAGCACCGCACCCCCTACCACGTCTTCTACGAACCCTTTCGATGCGTTAGACGCTCCAGCGCAGGCTCCTCAACAGCAACCCCAACTCGCTCCTCTTCAGACCCAGCAAACGTCCTACAATCCATTCCTCCAACAAGCGCCCCAGGGATATGCTCAGCAACAGGCGCCTCAAGGGTATGCCCAGCAACAGGTCCCCCAGCAACAGCAGCAGCAGCAAAACTTCGGCTAT